ACTCCCACTAGGTTTATATCTGGGACATATATATATGTTTTACTTATCTTATATTATTATTACTATTTTTCTCATTTTCTCATTTTCTCATTTTTTTTAACATGCTCAATGCATCATGTTTGGCATGTCAAGTGTACAGCACTTTGTGTTCAGCTGGTGGCTGATCTGAAAGCGCTATATAAATAAATTGCTTGCTTGCTTGGGACTTTCCACCATTTGACCTTAGAACTGAAGAAGCTTCTCGTATGAGAGGTGAAACGTCTTCAAGTAACTTAAAGAAGTCCAGACGCTTTCCTTTGCAAGCTCCTTTGACTACGACTACGATGACCTGGATGACTGAGAACCTTCACAGACATTTTACTGCTGTAGGTATTTCAACACTAAAAAAATCAGAAAGCATAACCAAAAACTAGGAACAGACTCTGAACTAGCATTGAGAAAACACACACAGCATACGTGTTGGGAATAACGCTGTTACTTTTTTCAGTAATGAGTAATCTAACTAATTACTATTCCTATCATTACAACGCCGTTACCGTTACTAACAAGAAAATGCGGTGAGGTCGCGTAACTATTTTTCAACAAACAAACGGTTAAAGCTGTGATCAGTTTACGGCACCTTATATCAGATGTAGCTGTAAGTAATCTGGGCACTACAGCTTTAAGCAGCTATGCACGCTCCGGATGGCAATCACTTTCTGGCAGGGATCTCTTTTTGGCACAACACCTGGAGGTAAGAGGGCAAAACAATCGCATGAGTGCTTCTGTTTGGTTGAGGAAGAATAAAGTAGTCATGGTAAGCCAATCACATGACCACTTCAAGACAAAGCAACAAGGTGATATATACCAGTTTATAAATTGTGTTGATAGGCCACGTAAAGCATGATAAACAATATTTACTCGGCATTTTTTCCTCAATGGTTTCGTCACGTTTACTGTCTAACGACAGCGCAGCGAGACCTCTCTGCTTATGAGCAAAAAATAATAAAACAAAATAAAAAACAGCCATTTTCTGTTGGTGGAAAAATGCACCATGTCGACCAATCAAAAATGATATGGCAACGTGACATTTGGTTGTTTAGGAAGAGGGGGAAGATTTAGGAGTGATGGCGAGAGAGAGAGAGAGAGTTTTGAGATGTGAGAGATTTGTGACATTTAGCATGTTTGGAGTGTGTAGTTCATGTGTTGTCTTGTGTAGTTAGTGTGTAGTGTTGTGGATAGTTTTGTGTTGTGTGTCAGAACAATGAGGCGACTGCTGTCTCCAGGTAGAAACAGGAATGATAGATCTGCAGGTATCAGGCTGTGATCTTCTCCTTTATAGTGGACATAAATTTTTGGAGTGGCACAAATAATTTGTGTGGCATCTTATTGAATGTAGAACAGCTGATTGTTATGTAAATAGTTTGAAATGGTTATAAAAAAAGGGTAAAAGGTAAATGGCTGCAAATAACTTTGTTGTTTGCAAAACTTGTGCATAGGATTTTAAAATTGACAATTTATATTTGCATTTAAAGTTATGAAATGTGATTCATTAAACATCTTTGTGGTTGTTACAGTAAAAAATATAAGTTTCTACTCTGATTTTTTATGGCAGCAGCTACTAAGTTTTAATATTACTCTTATTACTCTTTTTGTGTCACAAAATAAACTTTTAAGATATTTTCAGGCAAGAATGCAGCTGTGTAAACTTCAAATATCTTCTCGGTTTAACAAGATATCACATATTTGCAAAAGTGCTCCGAAGTGCTCCTTGATAGCGAGTCGGGAGCTCGAGGGTCACTAGAGCCGTTGGGAACAGCGAACTCCCTGCACATCGTTTTCAGGCCCCACGCGGTCTTTCGCTACTCAGTGTTTCCCCCTCTTGGTGTCCTCTGCCTTGTTATGAACCAGTAGTTTTGCCCCTCTGCATTCGGTTGTGTCTGAAATAAGTCAAATCACCAAATACATTAATTATTTTGTCTCAATAAACAATGTTCAGGTCTTCCAAGCGATCTCTCTTTTTTTTTGAAGTGTATATAGTCTTGTCTCCCCTTTGACCTCCTGTTAGACTCTAATGTTGATTTCATTGCTGGGATCTCTAAAACCTGCTTTATGGAATTGCTTGTTTTTCTGTTTTGCCACAGATTTTTAGGTTGTATTTTCTGAGGCAACCAAGAGCTCAATGCTGCCATCTACTGTATCCGCTGCTCATTAAAAACCTCATTAAAAGGAGAATAGTAACAAACTGACAAATTGATTCTAGTATCACAGACAGAATACTCGTGCAGTTCGTGTCTTCTTAATGAAATGTATGACAAATATAAAACTGACAAACAGTTGTTGAATAAACATGATAAATTATCCCCCCGATTAAAACTGGTCACATTATAACTCATAAAACTGCACCGTAGACAGACGGACAGTTTCCAGGCGGTTTCTATGTACAGCAGGGGTAAATTATCTCTTACAAAGCAAAAACACTGATGTAAACAATATGTCCGATACACACAGCACCGTGGATATATTTAAGCATGAAAATATTGAAGTCAAGCAAACTGTTTAACTACTACTGCACACATTTTCGTGGTACATGCTGGAAATGATTTAACATCATTTACTGACTGATACAAAAAATGTATTCCAGACAACCTCTTCAAGATATTTTTCATTGCTTAGAGGAAATATTGTGCAACAACAGTATATATATAAACATAACTCATAGATCATAACACAACTGAAAGCAATAAAAACAATAGAAAGTGTTGAAGAGAGAGTTCTGTGCTGTAAAACAGAGGTGCACATTGCACTTCAGACACATCACTTTTTTGTTTCTGTGCACACAGGAATCCTCATCTTTACTCTTGATTCAATTCACTTTGACTTTTATAGTCCAAGGGCGTAGATTTGGTTTTGGCATTGGTGGGGACGGATGATTCAACCACCAAACCCTGCCCTGTTTGTTCTTTTTTTCCCCTTTCTGTCTTTGCTTCTTGATAACAAAAGGAGAAATATACTTGCCTACATATGCTATTCTATATACTTTTAAACCATTTAAAATTACAATTCATAGTTTTGGTTACATGGTTACAGACGATCTTAGACTGAAGTGGGACAAAGAACATAGGAGTGGTATATACATACATGCATATATATATATGTGTGTGTATATATTACATATGGCTCCCTTAAAAAGTTCCCTTTATCACACAAGGGCAACGGAAAGAAGGAAAAAACATTTTTTTAACATTCAAATGAAAACACAGCATGAAACATGAAAAAACCCCTCTATATCTTCTTACACTCACATGTACTCTTTTATTTACAGTTTGTCATTTTAATTACACTTACAATGGCAGCTTCACACATCATCTGGTCCTGTGACCATGTGTCAGAACAGGATGCCCCACCGTACTAATACTGCTCGACAGTGACTCGAACATCTTATAGGACTGAAATTTGATACTTTTTCCAACACTCTGATTGGTTGTCTCAGTTCATTTCACATGTACTGGGCATGTTGTTGCCCAGCAGCAATGCTGTGCTGTAGAGAGTTAAGTTATAAATAACAGCTAATTCTTTTGATATATTATTATTCAATCCAGATGCTTAGGATACTTTCACATTCATTGTGTTTAAAGTCAGTGGCTCTAAGTGTGGATGTTGTGTATCGTACCACAGTGTGGCGCAAAAGCACTTGACCTCTTTGTTGGCTTCTCCTCCTGTGAAAGAGGCAGGTCCGTATCTTCCTGATAGGCTTTAATAATCATCTTCACAGGGAAATAAAATCTAAGATCTCAGAAGATCAGCACCAAAACACCATCACAAAATCACTGTGACTCAAACACTAAATACATTATTTTTATTCATAAATCTGCTATATTCTTTAAATAAATGATCTCATTTTCTTAGCTTGTTGACTGTTGAGTAGAGCGGCTCCTCGGTCGGCGGGTACAGTTGGGTGTCACTCGAGTCAGTTCGACATTTGGGAAACTTCACAGTAGAATATTCACAGGCAGAGTAGCCGAGTCTGACTGTCTCACCAGCAGCTTTATCGGAGTTTTGAAAGTTAATGGTAGCATAATGTGTTGAGGGCACAGGGTTTGGAGAGCTGACGGTGGCATAAATTGTGTTTGTTGCATTTTCTGAGTCTGGCAGCTGGAGGCGCTCCTGTATCTCGTCATAGGTACAGTCCTTCACGGGAAGAATGAGAAATTATTATTTTTTTAAGCAGTGTATTTGATTTCTTTACTGAAGTAATATGATCATTATTTTTGGTCATGTGAGAGAACTCTGACTACACAACTGTTGTGTGTGGAAATAACATTTACATGTCTGTTTATGGTGAAGTCTTTGCTTTCTTTAAATCCATAAACTTCATTTCACTTCTCAAATATCACGTTGTGTGTCTCCTATATGATATATTTAACTGACATTTTTTATTGTAACAACCATCGATTTATACAGGAAAACAATGACTATTAACAAGGTTGGCCAAACTTTTGCATCCCACTGTAGATTTCGGGACATGTATTCTGTAATCTGTAGTGGAATACATTTTAAAAGTAACCTTCCCAACACTGGCTATGCTGAGTTGGTTATGTCTAAGGTAAGACAGCAAACTAAAAACTAATGACCATGAGCTGTGATTGCAGATGAATGAATGAGATTAAAACTGTTCCTGATCAGTGACATGCTGCCAACAGCGCCTCCTTCATGTGAACATGCTGACACCTAGACTGGGAAAGTGAAGCCAGATAAAGAAAAGAGATCCTGTGTACGGTGAACTTCAGATGAACACACTGGGAAGAAAACGAGGTTTTGATCCTGTTTGCTGCAGAAGTGTTGCACAGTAAAAAAAAGCAACATTTCCACACAAACCTCTTTGGTACGGCGTGCTGCTGCACCATTTCCTGTGTTTTTTGAACGTGAAAATCCTGTTAAACAGAAAACAAAGACAGCAAAACATAAACGAGCAGTTTATGTTTTGGATTTAAGTGGACATTTACAAAGATTATCAGCTTTAATGAAGTAATGTCTGGATAGTTTTGCTGCTGTGTTTTTAGACAGTGTGAGATAAGGAAGTACATGAATGTGGTTTGTGGGTACAAATGAGCATATCTAGTAATGTTGTGCAAACAAACAGTAACTTACGTTTATACATTAGGATCATCAGTATCACAAAAAGCAGCACAGCCACACAGACGATCACAGAAATGATGGCCTCAGAGACGCCTCACAAATAAAACGGAAACATATTCAGCATCAGTTAAAAAGAAAACGTTTGTGACGCACACATTTCTTTGCTGAGGAATTTAAAGTGAATTTTACTTAAATGAAAAAGTAAAAACTAAAACAAACTAAAAGTCCTCTCTCACCACGTCTCCCAGCAGCTGCAGCTGCAGCTGTAGTCATTGCTGTAGTCGTCGCTGTAGTCGTCGCTGTAGTTGATGAAATGGTAGACGTGGATGTTGTTGGTGATCCTGAAAGAAAAATGAAGGTCAAGGAAGTTGTACTTATGAAAATGTTTGAAATTTTTATTGATTTTTATTTTAATTAATTTGATAAATAAGACAAAATGTGTCAGTTTAAAAAGTTTATTTTCTTCTTTTTGATCCTTCTGTTAAAACAAGGACCTTAATAATACATTTTAATCCCAAATTTTTGTCAGTAGTTTTTAAAATTGACCTGATCTAACTTTTACCTATGGTTTATTGTCACAGAGATGAAAACACACGATTAATGCAGCAGAAATTAACTGCATGAAAAAAAACTGATTAATGCTGCATTTATTTGAATTTAGGATCCTGCTAATGTTCATAGCTTGACATCACACTTTCATAGCTCATTGGGACACTTAGAACCGTTGATAATGATTCTTCACACTTGTGTAAATGTCTATCTATCCTTTAAACCCTGATCTCGAAGCTGGAACCGCAGATTTTTAGCTTTGGTTGATAATTTTCAGACATCACACACCACAACTCAAAGGGAGGAGCAGGAAATGAAAACAAATGCAGCAGCATTGCTGTAGGTACTCTGTATGCTTGTTAATCTGTTTTAGAGTAATGGGACTGACTTCTAAAAGTGGCTGATGAAACCATACAGAGCCTGTTGAACTGATTCTTTCGCAGCATATACAGGACTCACTGCAGGTCTCACAGGTCTGCAATCAGAGCAGACTGAAAGTTGTGGAAGCACACAGATTTAAGATTCTGTGTAGTCATTTTAAAGTTAATGTTAAATCATTTTAGTTGTACAATCTCAGTCCTTAATGACACAAAAGGTTATCGGCTGAACACGCCCACGTTACTGTCTTAAAGCTCTTTCTGTATCAAACCACTTCCTCTCATGTAACGTTTTCCTGGTTTGCTTCTTTACATAAAATTAAAGGGTTTATTGAGTTTTTATTATCAGATATCAGAAGTCTTCACTTTAGAAGACTTTTTATTGGCTGAAATTTAACAGGACAAACGTATGTTGTTATTATAGATAAAGTTTATGTGAATTATTACTGCTCTGTAATATCCTGTACATTGTGAACATGTCAGATAACACCCACAGAATAAAACAGCGTGACTCACCTACAGTCAGGATCAGTCTGTTGCAGATTTGTTGGTTGTTGTTTGTCGCTCGACACCAGTATGTCCCGCTGTCATCTGCTGTTACATTTCTTATTGTAACAGTAATATTTGTCTTGTCTTTACCATTTATGTAAAACTTCTTGTTCTTATCAGGCTCATTGGTCGTTACTAGAGTTTGACATATAGATGGATCGTCTCCCTTACAGATTGATTTTGAAGGTGAGGCCCTCTCTTTGCATTTACACCAGTATGAGAAGTTCTGACCAGCAGCTGGTGATCTTGTGAAATTAGTAATATCTGTAGAAAACAGAAGAAAGCAAGTACTTGAAAACACTGTATTTAGGCACACCTTTAAATAAAACGGAAACTGCAACAACTGGAAGACATTACGAGAGTTACTCACGTTCCACATCCAGTTGTATTTTTTGGAGCGCGACCTCTTTTTTTAATTTCACTCCACACCAGTAGACACCTTCATCCTGTGAGGACACGTTACTGATGGACAGGCTGAAGTTTCTGTTTGTCTTTGTGAAAGTGAATCTGCTGTTTGACTGTCGAGGAGATTCTACCATGTTCTCACAGACAGAGTTAGTCTCTTTGCAGAAAAAAAATGGTTTGTTGTCTCCTTCATAATCACATTTGATCGTGGTTTTAGTTGTTCTGTACGCAATTTGATTAAATTGCTTCAGGCATACGCGTTTCACTACAAAGGAAAAAAAGGTAAAATGAGCAAATAATCAAATGAAATACTTTAAGGTGTATGTCATATGAGTTATCCAAATTATTGTATTTGAAGTTGTAAATTATTTAATTTTCATTAAATTTGCCTTTTACTGTTAAATGCAACTTTAACTTATTAAAAATGAAGACTTGGAGGAGAAAATCATTTAGTAATTAGACTTGTCAGACTTTTGCTTTCAGGCTGGAGAAAAAAAGTAAAACTAAACAAATTTTGTGTGTTTCTTACATTTGACATTTTTAAATTAAAATAAGCAAAACTTTAGATATAAGATGACTGGATTTTCAAAAATGAAATTCTTACCAGATGGTTTCTCTTTGCCAGATGAATTTTTGCACATTTTCTTACAGGATTCCTCACTGTTAAGTTCCATGAAGACCACGTTTGGGATTTGGTTGCTTTCACACTTTATGTGTTTATGTTTATGTGTTTCTTTAGTTTTTAGTGTCTTGCAGGTGACTTCAACCCATGTTCTGCATTCATTCTGTTGTGACATCTCACAGGCTGAGGACAAATATTTACTTCACCTCAGTCACTTAAAATAAATCAGGTTCAAACAAAACTCTAAAGACACGTTCTAACACAGTCTGTCTGCATTAGTACATCAATAAGATTAATTAATACCATATTATTTGATATCAATAATAAAAACAATAAATCTGAACTTTCGCAACTGTATTTGGACTTAATTCCATCTTTTTCTATAATTGTGATGAGGCCAAAACATGTCTGCTGTGACTTTTATTGCATATTTTTAATTAGCTGGATAATTCAAACCTCCAGGAGCGTCACTCACTTTTAATTTTACTTTCACTCCTGCATTACAATAAAGTGCAGAAAATAATAACGTATTATCTGGTTATAGCTTATGTTTGTTAAGTTGAAAAATGTGCCGTGGTTAAAAAAGTGGAACAGTGAGTCTGTTAAGCTCATGTTCAAGATATTCAAAGAGAGCTGTAGCTATACCAGCCCACAGGATGTACTGATTCAAGCTACTTGCTTAAGATGCAGTAACAGATCTCTCTGTCTCTAATATCAGTAATAAAGCCATAGTTATAGTTTTTACCTGTCAGCAGGAACATAATGAGCAGGAAACTGCTTTTCATGTTGTTGGTCCTGAATGCTGAAGTCATCTTTAAGAAATTGAAACTCTGAGTTCTTCTTTTCATCTCTGGGGTGATGTGGTTGTGTGCACAGCCGTGTTTCCTCAGTTTATATTTTGGGCAAACTAAAAGTAACCCTGCCCCCATCTTCCTCTTCCTCGCCGTGTTTCTGCCTCAACCTAACACTCTCCACGAACTCCTGATTACTCCTCACCTGCTACTGTTGACCAGACTGCATGAAAGACAAACTGCTTGAGTGCTGTAGTTTTATGTCATGATACGCTGTGTGTGGCAGGCAAAGACACACACACACAGCTAGAGCGAGATCACAAAAAAGTTAAAAAATGTGAAGACATGAAGACAACACACATTATTCTAACAGACAGGAAGCAGCAGGTGTGGCTGGTGTTAATCAGCACTTCCCCTTTCAGGGGTGTGGCCTCTCGTCTGCTCTTCTCCCTCTACACAAACGACTGCAGTTCAGTTTGCAGCCGTGACATGACAGTTATCTGACTCATTAGCAATGAGTTTGCATACAGTCGTGGGTTGAACAGCTGGCCTTGTGGTGCAGTTAGAGATGATTATGCTCAGAACTCGAAGAGAGATGACAGGAGGAGCCGTTGTCCCCCATGAAGTTACTTAACAGCACTGTCTGCTGTGGAAACTTTCAGGTTTCTGGGATCCACGGTGTCCTAGTAAAATATACTGCAATAATCCAGTCTGCTCGTCCATCACTGCATAATTTGGATCAGCCATAAAACAGGACAGTGAGCTCTATAGAAAGAAATTATTGAAGCAGACTTGCCCTCAATTCAAATCCAGTCAGGAAACAGGCAGGCAAAATCATCGCAGAGCCATCACACCAGGTTCCGTCCAACTCCTCTGCTCTGGCAGGTGCTACGCCAAAACCAGCAGACTTCTGTATGGGTCCTTGCACCATTCCATCATGACTATACTATACGTTCATTGTTTATAAAATTAAGTGCAGGATTGGCATATTTGATAAGGCTGATGCAGTCTGATTAAGCGTCACAGGTTTTACAGCAGCTGGGGGAAGGAGACACAGGTGGGCACGTTCAGACAGTGAGACAGGGTAAGAAGCCAAACGCAGAATGTGAAGAAGTTTTAACAAATAACCATTAATGACATTGGAAAACATGAAACATGAATTTAATTGAATAAATAAGAAAATAAAGCCCAAAGTAAACAAAGAGAAAACATCTAATAATAAGCAAGAATGCAAAGCTCCAAAGAACTAAAAACCAGGGACGACAGCAGACATGGAGAGAGTTATTATTACAAAAAATGTGTTTTTCAGGACAAGCAGGGTCATGGTGTCCTACTGTATTTATAAATCTTAAACAACAATTAAACTAAAATTGTTGTTTATTGATTTCAGTCTGACAGCACCATCCTCTGTAAATATGTTGTATTGTATGTTAAGTCTTGATGTATTCAGATGCATTGGTGCAAGCACAAAATATTGTTTTTTAGTCTTTAAACACATACAGTTTGTAATAAACCGAGAAGACCACACGAGATGCAAATGCAAAACTTTTTTAATATCATCATCAGAAGCTTTTTTAAATTTTCCAAATCAACTACAATACAAACTGTAACTGAGAAAGAAAAGAACAAAATAAAAAGGTACAATCATTAATATGACGATGAAGAAGAATTGCTTAAAAACATGAATGGTTTCATCCTGGGAGGAAACACATCCCATGGGGGTTGCGTCAGGATGGGGATTAAAAAAAAAATGGCAACCTACTTTGGAAAGCCTTTGTAACAAAGGAGCAGCTGAAAGTAGCATCGACTGAACCTGACGTCATGGCGACCATGCACAAAAAACAGAAACAAAGGTAAAAAAAAAAAGCTGCCAACGGGCAAGTAAAAGTGCACATTTGGGAAGTAACAAATGAATAATAATTTTAAAAATAGCATAAAAAGGTTCCTGGTGCAGCTCTAATCGTCACGGTTCTGGGTCATTGTGACCCAGCTTTTTCTGTTTTGCTAAACATATGATTTGTTTGGGTTTTTGAGTTGTGCTGGTTTGATTTGGTATTAAGGGTTATTCTTAGTTTTGTTCTCTTTACTTTATTTGGTGATCTGGCCTTCAGTTTAAGTCACTGTCTTTGTCACGGCTGGGCAGCAGTCGTGTGGTGAATTAAGAAAAGGATCCAAAGTGCAGGCACTGGCTGGGGTGCGAGTGAGTGTTTATTTACAGAGGTGATAAGGTGACAAAAACAGGAGGAGCAGAGCGGGGAGTAAACAAACCTAAACTGGGGAAAACTAAAGAACTAAACTTAAACCAAACACGCACGGGAGGAGGAACAAAATGCATAAAGAAAGATGGCGGAGAGACGCAGAATGAACACCAGGGTTACACAGAGTAATGCAGACGGACATGGAGTTAAACAGACGACACAACAGAGAGCACAGGAAAACACAGGGCTTAAATACACGGGGAGTAATCAGGGAATGGGCCACAGGAGGGAGACACAGCTGAGGCAATTAGGCTATCGAGACAGGGGAGAGGTAAAACTGAACACACACTGACATGAGACATGAACTTTCAGAATAAAACAGGAAATAAGAAACAATTCACAAAAACGTGTGTTTTCCTGTGTTCTCTGTTGTTGTACCCTTAACACGGTGTGTGTCTGTCATGTCCATTTTTCTGGCACCTCTGTTCTAAGTCTTGTCTTCTTTTGTTTTTTGCTTTGCTTTTCTGAGTTTTGTTTTATGAGAAAGTTTTTCCAGCAATAAAGCTGTGTTTTCAGTTTAAGTCCTGTCTCTGAGAGTCTTGCATTTTGGGTCCTTTTTTCCTGCCTGCCACACAGCCAACCATGACACTAAGGCTACGTTCACACTGCAGGTGAAAGCGCATCAAATCTGATTTTTTTTTACCCTAATGCGACCCATATCCGATCATGGTATGACAGTGTGAACGGCACAAATCCAATATTTTCAAATCCGATCTGGGTCACTTTCGTATGTGGTGCTGAATCCGATACATATCTGATGTTTCAGAAAGCGACTGCTGTTTGATGGTCAAGTCGGATTAAATCCGTCTTTTATTTCACTGACGCTAATTATCAGCCCCGGAGAAGACACCGCGATGCTTCCTGGCCATCCAGTGTAGATGTCAGTGAAACTTTTGGGAAGACAACGTGAACATTTTCTTTGTACTGTATAATCTGCAGATTCTGACAGAAATCTGCAACTATCCTTTGAAGCACCGCTCCTCTAAAACAGGAATAAGGATCATTATTAGGTTATTTACATTATTATGTAAATAACAAAATAACTTAAAGTAAAAATTGGGAAACGTAAAGTCCGAAGTCTTTATATTAAGGGCCATCAGTCAAACAATATTGATTGCTCTGGATCTAACCAGAGCGCGTTGTATGTGACGTCTTCTTTTGCGCATGCGGCCGCTTTGAGCGTTCACACTAGAGCGCGTTTGCTGTCGCATTTTATTTGTAGTGTGAACACGCAGACAAAAAAATCGGATTTGATCAAAAAATCTGAATTGAGCATTAAGACCTGCAGAGTGAACGTAGCCTAATATCTTTAAGTAGATTTGCTGGTTTGGATCAACAGTGGGGGGCAGATGCCTGCTCTGTCCTTGCTTGTCCAGGTAACTGTGGGTGGCAAACACACCATGTCTTCCCTTTTCTGGCCTATAATAGGCTTGCATTTTTTAATATATAGTGCTGTGAAAAAGTATTCTGCCATCTTTCAGATTTTGTTTTCTATTCTTTTAATGTTTTTTTGCATATTTTTTACATCTTACATTTTTCAGATCATCATTTTAAACAATGGCTTTTTTATTAAGAATATTTCCTTCATACATATAAACAAATAGAGAAGAGAAGGATTACAAAAGTGAAATAAAGGAAAAAAATATAAACGTAAATAACATAGGATCTGGCAAAATAATCACATTCATTCCCACCCAGGTCACTGCCCTAGATCTGTACAGCTGAAAAGTTCTTATAGATTTTGAATGCATCAAGAAAAGGTTTGAAATTTCCCAGATCATCAAATTTTAATAGCTAGAAAGCAAGCAGTAAATAGAGGAGCAGTCAGGACTTAACCCTTCTCAGTGCCGCAGTGGCATGGCAACGACAGGGAGTAGAAATTGTCAATTGAAACTCTGGATGGATGATTTGCTGTAGACTTCGTATCATGCTGGCCTGGTTTCCACTGACTACAATCTGTATCAGAGTCAGCCTCACCAGAGATGTTTTTAACGTTGACTTTGGATTCATGCATGAAGAAAGATGGGTTTGTGGGGAAGTTGGTAGTGGCATAAACTGTTTTCATTGCAGGTGTTGTGACGAACTTCTGGGAAGACTCGTGTATTGCCTCATAGATATTATCCTAAAAAATGACAAACACAAAAAAGGTTTATATACAATCTTAATAGTAAGCATTACATGTACTAAAGACCTTAAAAAATGGAATTGCTCTCTATCACTAAAACCTGCTAATTATTGCCCAGGTGCAAATCCAGCTCAGGGGCTTGTAGGAGCACTGCAGTTGAAACCGGCATCACTGTAAACATAACCAGCAGCAGCCAGAGACAACAACATGTATGTAAACTTGATTTTATATTTGAGTTTCTTGCAAACAGGTTTTCACTAAAGTGCACACACTGTCCTGTTAAATGCCGTATGTGTAAACCTGATTTAGACTGGTTATGAAATTTTACTGAAAAACAGTTTTTACACGGGAAAGACAATATATGTAATAATAATGTAATAATATATATATTTTTGTAATAATATTTTATTATATGTATATATATATATATATATATATATATATATATATATATATATTAGGGGTGCAACGATACTCGTATCGATATTGAACCGTTCGATACAGTGCTTTCGGTTCGGTACGCATATGTATCGAACAATACAAAATTTTTAATTTATTTTATCAACTTTTCTTCTGACGATGCTGTCTGTGTTGAGAGCTCAGTGGATCTGCGTTCGACTACTCCGCCTAGGCTGCACTGTCGAGTGCAGATCCACTGAGCGCAGCACAAGCTAGCAAGACAGAAGCTAAGCTCGTTGCAACATGGCAACTGCCTCAACGCTACCCGAAATTGAACCTCCCCCACCCTCGTTCAGATCTGGCGTTTGGAACTATCTTGGTTTTCATGTGACGTATGACCCTGAAGGTAAGCGCGTCATGGACAAAAGTAAAACAGTATGTTGGATGTGCCACGCAATGCTCAATTACATGGGTGGGAACTAGTGCATTAGCGCCGTTTGCTCGTTAGCGTGTTGATGCCGTCCAGCCCCACGCACGGTGCGATCCGCGGTAACTTGTTAACGGAGATTTGCCGCGTTGTGGCGTTAACGTCATTTCAACGAGATTAAAGCTGACAGCACTAGTGGGAACACAACGAATATGACTGCACATTTACACCGACATCATTCTAGTGCAAAGACAAGTGGAAGCAGACAAAAACAACAAGCACGCATGCTACAAACTAAACTTTGTTTAATACGCTGCTGAGAATATAGCCCAGAAGAAGTGTATAGTATAGATTTTATTTTGGAAAGAGCTATTTGTCTGTAATAAACTCTCTTTTCCAAAGATGAGTGATTCCTCGATCAGATAGATTTTTTTTTATCATTATTATTTTGTTGTTTTAGCAACATTAAATTTAAAAACTGTACTAAAATATATTATATTAAAATATATATTTCTAATTTTAATAAATGACAAATTAAAAAGGCATGAACCTTTTTTGTATCAAAAAAATATCGAACCGTGACACCAAAGTATCGAACCGAACCGTGAATTTTGTGTATCATTGCACCCCTAAGATACATATATATATATATGCGCATGCACACACACACACAGACATGTATACATACTTCTTTGTTCTGTGCCTCTCCATTCTTTCTGTGTTTTGACCATGAAAAACCTGACAGAGAAAAATAAGGAAGTGAAAAACATTTTTCTTTAACTAACAAAAAACTGTCCAAACTGACAGACTTACATTTGTTTCTTTTAATTTAATTGACTAATATATGAACCGCTGAATGTGTCTGACTACTGAAAAGTAAATATATTTTAGATACTTTATACATGACTATGTTAGAATGGGCATTTTAAATTTATATTTTACCTACATTTGTAGGTGAAAACCGCAATAACCACAAGTAGCAGGAGAGCAACGAGGACAGCCGCAGTGATGACCACAGTTAAAGGAGAACCAGCTGTAAGGCAAGGCAAGTTTATTTGTATAGCACAATTCAACAACAAGGTGATTCAAAGTGCTTTACAGAGACATTAGAAACAAGAACAAATAAAAAGCATGATTTAAAATTGACTAAAACAAGCAAATAAACTAACTAACTAATTAACAAACAAACAAACAAACAAACAAACAACAGTATATAAAATCAAAACAGATAAAATCAGAACAGTAGATAAAATCAGTAGTTAAATGTAAGTTTTGAAGTTTAATCTTAAAAGTGTGGATTTGGTGCTTTATTCAAATGCAGCTGAGAACAGGTGAGTCTTCAACCTGGATTTAAATAAACTGAGTGTTTCAGCTGATCTGAGGCTTTCTGGGAGTTTGTTCCAGATATAAGGAGCATAAAAGCTGAATGCAGCTTCTCCGTGTCTGGTTCTGACTCTGGGAACTGATAAAAGACCAGATCCAGATGACCTGAGGGATCTGGAAGGTTCATACTGGGTCAGGAGGTCACTGATGTATTTTGGTCCTAAACCATTCAGAGCTTTATAGGCCAGCATCAGAACTTTAAAGTCTATCCTCTGACGGACAGGCAGCCAGGTAAAGACCTGAGAGCTGGACTGATGTGGTCCACTTTTTTGGTCTTAGTGAGGACTCGAGCAGTCTTTGTAAGACAAAAATCAGAAAAAAAAAACCCACAATGGAGCTGTAAACACAGACATGTCTGCTAGAACTGTGAGTTTAATAGAATTCACATAAATACGCTGACAGACTCTTTTAATCTATCAATAAGAGCACTTTCTCACAGGGACCTGTCACAGGAGGTGTCTGGGTTGTAGAACTGGTGGCTGGAGATGAAGGATTCAGTGATGTAGTGGAGGATGTAGTGGAGGATGTAGTGGAGGATGTAGTGGAAGGGTCTGGGTACACAAAAGTATGAAAGTTGTGCATTGAAACAATAGTAAATTAACAAGCTGCCATTATTACAGATAAATTAACAATATTTAGTGAATAAAAAAAAAGTTCATTATTTGGAAACATCGCTGCCAAGTTTAGTTTCTTTTTTCATGAGACATAATATATAAAATACAATGAAATGATTGTACCATTTTTTTACTGCCTGTATTTATTTTAAATGTATTAGATGACCATAACAGGGATATCATCTCTGAGTTACTCTCATTACTTATAGATCAAACATTACAAAAAAGTAGAGGATTTTGAAGCACGAATTTTTGTCTCACATGGATTATTTGTTCACATTTGGCCATTTATAATGAGCTTTCAATAGCAAAGAATAGTCCGAAGACAATGGTTGTGTGTCTGAAATGTCCTGTTTCACTCTTTGTTTAAAGATTCTAAATAACATTTAATTTGTATTCTTCTATCAAATATGCTATATGTTCCTCTTTCTTCAACATTTGTACACAAAACTGTTAGATTGTCAAGAACATCAACAAAAGAGAACCAATGCACTCATTGCACACACTGTGTGTGTGTGTGTGTGTGTGTGTGTGTGTGTGTGTGTGTGTGTGTGTGTGTGTGTGTGTAAAAAAAGATGTGCTATCAAAAAGAGAAGGCAAAGAAATGAAACAAATAAATGTTAAAAATGTAAATAAAAGACTAAATCATTCCCTGCAAATAATTAGAAACTAGTCAAACCCTTTGACCAGATTATGCATAAAAAAAAACAACCCTCTACCTCGTACTGTAGGAGTTTCAACTATGACTGATGTGCATTTTAATACCTGAGCAAGATATGAAAACATATGGAGCACATAAATAGAAACACACATACTAGATTATTTTTCTCACCTTCAACCTCCAGTTTTATTTGTCTGACTGAAACTCTGTAGCTTCCATCCTTTGATTCCACTCCACACCAGTAGACACCAGCGTCCTGTGAGGAAACACCACTGATGGACACGTTGAAGTCTCTGTTGGTGTTTGTGAGTCTGAATTTCCCGTTTAACCTCTGACCTTTTGTTGATAAAATATCCTTACAGGCGAAATTCTCCCCTCTGCAGAAAAACTGGACCCCGAACTTGAAATCATCATCTGGATGACACTTGATGTTAGCTGCTTTGGTCACAGTTTGAGTAAATGGCTGCTGGCACTTTTCTGTATAAAAATAAAGACAAACCCCCCCAAACAAGGACAATAAAGTATTTGAATGTGCTTCATTATATCACAACATGTAACTTGTACTTTGTCGCACACTACTTTAACATTTTTAACTTCCTCGTGTGCTGACAAAGGTGTGAAACAGATGAAGACACGAGCAAACTGTGAAATTTCCTTTCAAAGGTCTGAGATGTAAAGTAACTTCTGAGATTAAAAAACAAACAAAGTAATGTAAACATGCGTTTCACCTGTAATCTGTAATAAATCTTTACATTTCCAAACTATGATTTATGTTGTGTGATAGAAACAAACTATATAATACCAAAATACAGGTGAGGAAATCTGATTTTAGTTATTAATTTCTTGTGTTGTACTAATAACATCAAGAACAACAATAACAATCACATTTCTTACCAGATTCCAATTTCTTTTTGACAGGAGATCTGTTTGAGCCTTGATCAAATTCACATCTGTATATCCCAAAGTCTCTTTGTTTAAGATCTCTGATGCCCACCATGAGAGTTTTATGTTTTGTATCATGGTACAGAGAAAATCTGCCTTTATCTTCCCAAACATCCTTCAGAGAGCTTCGTAAGCTTGTTCTATTGGGAATAACTACATTGACGTGGTCATATTTTTTTTTTGCTCCAGGATATTTGCAGGTGAATTGAACCCATCCTTGTTTGCATGCCTCCACTTCATCTTCATCATCACCATCGACAGCACAACCTGCAGATCAAAGACAAAAAGTTGTTTTGAATATTTTTAGTATTTCTGATTTGAGAGAGATGATGTTGCTACACAGTCGTCACTATGAGTAAACTGCATGTTGAACTTTTCCAACAGGTTTGTGATTTTTGCTTTTTAAAAATTGGTCAAAACCTCTTCTCTCAAAACAATAGAAGATGGGACGGTCTCTACATCAGAGGTGGGCGAACGCCAGGCCTTAAGGGCCGGTGTCCTGCAGGTTTTAGCTGTGTCCTTCATTCCAACACAGCTGATTTAAATGGCAAAAAATACTTCCTTAACATGTCTTGAAGTTCTCCAGAGGCCTGGTGATGAACCAATCGTTTGATTCAGGTGTGTTAAACCAAGGCGATATGTAAAACCTACGGGACAGCGGCCCTTGAGGCCCGGAGTCCCCCACCCCCCCTGTACATATTAGAGACCAAACCTCTGCCCTGATAGAAGAACCCGATTAAATCATTAGTCTGATCTTTTCGTATTTTTGGTCTATCAGGAAGGCTTTCATTTCATGTAGATGCTCAAGGTCGTTAAGAGTGGCACCACTACTCTCACAGCACAGTTCAACTTTTTTCCAATTTGCTCATTTTTCTGATTATAAGACTTCTAAACCTCCAAGTCAGAGAAATGTTTGAAAAAATGAATCAACAAATGAAGAAGAAAACATTTAAATTAATGTCCAGTTTTTGCAGATGACCTTGGTGTAAAGGTGTTGGGACATTCACCTCTGAGAAGATTGGCAGCTCTCTTGGGTGTTTTCCACTCATGAATAATCACTCTAAATTTTGAACGATGGACTTCAAATTGTATGACTTGAAATAGTCTTACAAACCCTTCACAAATTGATGGGCAGCAGCAGTTGCTTCTCTAAGATCACTGCTGATGTCTTCTCTGAAATGACGTCATGTAATAAATCATGTGTCGTTGTTCATCTAAGGCTGTTTATACCTAATATTAAGACCTTTCATTATGTTGTGACATGTTAACCCTTAGGATTTACAGAATCTAAAATTTAAAGCTTACTTTGTTTTTATCATGACTGTAAATGGCAACAATTTCTGGTCATCATATACATGAAATTATTATAATAATGAATGTGTAATATTAGTAATCAGTAGTCTTACCTGTCATCAGCGTGAGGATGAGCAGCAGGAGCTTCATTATTTTGGTCGTCTCTTTGAGTCCAAACAGTGCGCTTGTTCAAGCGTCTCCGCGATGTCGTCTAAAACTTTATAGTGCCACTTTGTTTCCAGGAAAAAGAGGAAACTGCTAACGTCATGATTATCTAAAAAAGGTTATGAAATATGTAGTTCTTCCTCAGTGTCTATATGGTTTTTACAGAATTACATAATCTAGTTTAAAGTTAGACTATAGAAAGAAAACAGGATGTGACTCACTTTAACTCACTGCCCATTGCACAAAAACACAAAACCACAGCTTGTTTCATCAGCTGTTATTTTCAAAAGTGTGGTACGAGTGGCAGCTGAGTGCAGTCTCACTTTGATTACGTGTGTCCACACACAAACTGAGCTAAAGAACCCGCTTTATGGATGATAACAACAACTGCATACAAACATAGCAAAGCATCGTTTCGGCCTTCTGTTTTCGTGACAATACTTTTTAGAAAATGAAAAAGTTGACCTACTACTTGACCCAGTTCTCTAAACTCGTCATTAGTCATTGTTAAATCATGATTACTGTTATCGCAGCAGCACACCTCACAAAAGATGATCCACAAAACACTTTACACTATATCACAGGGCCAGGCTATGAAAGTAAGTGCTAAGTTTAGACCACGACTAGTAGACCTCCCAAGAATACATGTAAAGGGTTTGTTTACTTATACTAAGCTCATTCAATTAAATAATAATAATAATTTAAAAAAACGATGCTGGGTCTAGTATGTTACTATTATCACTTTTTTGGAGAATGCAGTAATTTAACAGCTTACTAAATCAGTAATATACTACAATTACAATTATTTTGCTACTTCTATTACAGGGTACTTCAATTAGCTCCACATGGGCAGATAAAAAGGAAGAAGAAAGACATCAGTCGTGCTTTCTTCTTCCTGTGTAGTTAAGGTACAATTAGCTGACTTCAATTTGTAGCATGTGTGTGTGTGTCTGAGATGTGACAGTGGCAGGACTTCCTGCTGTTGGATCTCTGGCTGACACACCTGTGATCCATCAGTTTATCTTCCTGTTGTGCACTTATGGACGAGCGCTCTGTCAACAGCATCATCAAATACTTCCTGAGATTCATCTCTGCAAAGAAAACTCACCAGCCTGATCTACCCACTCCATAACTCAACCTCCACCATTTAAGTGGCTTTTTAACTTTTGCAGTAAATCCTTAAACTTGAATGATGCGTTTACTTCCACCTGCTGCACCAGCCTGGGAACCAACAGAAAATTGTACTGACACAGAAATGGAGATAAATGAACAACGATTGAGTGAAGAGGGAGAAAGTTTGATCAGACTAGAAATGGACTGTAACAATATGTTACTAGCGTGTGTGAATGTTTGAAACTGGGCGTTACTGGAGTTTAATGAGTGAATAGCATCTGTTGCACAAGACACCATTAAAGAAGCATCCTACAGGGATGCGCGGACCAAACAGTCCTCATACGAACTCCACAATCACCAGCAGATTGTGTAGATTGTGTTGAAACCTACAATTTAAACCCATCTGTCATAACTAATACTACGCATAATTTTTCCTGACAATCCTCAGCGGGTATCTTGGCTGTGTGGACTAGGAGGGACACCCCCTTATTTCATGCAGCACTAATGGCTTTTGGCCCATGTCATGGTTTTGGAGTCTGATAACATACATCATCTGCTCCAAGGGAAACATGGAACAATGGCTGAGTGTGTATTTATGGTTTACGAGTGTGTTTGCAACCTGTGTGACTGCCAGCCAATCTGGAAAGAAAACATAGATAAGATAAGAGATTTTACATGGTTTGGGGTCCTCAGAACCAAGTGCTGTACTACACACACATGCAGAGCTGATTGGTTTATAAAGACTCTGGCTGTGATTTATTGGTTATTTATGATCTGCTGGTGAGAAGAACAATTACAAGGGCTGTCTGTTAGAGTGATGAACAACAGGCTATAAAGAGGCAAGCAAGTGCATGCATGATGATATGTTTGTTTTGTTTCTATTTTTTGTTCCTGTTACTATTTGGCAGTAAAGTTTCTGAGTTTATTATGTGCTAAAGCCAGTCCTGACATTAATAAATCAACATTCAGACACTTGTTTTATTAACCTTTAGGTGCTGTCAGCATGTCCTAAAATTTGCAAAGTGTAAATGTACATGAGTATTTTCAGGCCATGCACATCGGTCTTTGACTCTGTCAGTGCGCCCCAGGGCGGCTGTGGCTACAATGTATGTGTGAATGTGTGTGTGTGAATGGGTGGATGACTGGATATGTAAAGCGCTTTGGGGTCCTTAGGGACTAGTAAAGCGCTATATAAATACAGGCCATTTACCATTTGATAGTCCCTAAACTAATTCCTTTCTGTGGAATCATGGTAACGGCCTCCTTTTTGAGAATAATAAGTACCCTGAAAGTAGGTCTGTCATTAAGCTGGGATCTTCTACACACTTGAAACATCACCAGACTGAATGGCTGTTATCAGTGGTTATCACTCTCATACTAATTACCAGTGCGCACTCCTGTTAACTCGTATGGGACTGACAACCTTCTTGCAGATTGTTATAATCCATATATCCATCCATATAATCAAAGCCTACTTTTTCCTAACCCTGTACTTTCTTGTCAAAACCTAGTGCAGTACTTTTGGCCTAAATCTTTACAGCTTACAGTTAGGTGTGGCTCAGGTGACTCTAAACCTTTGCTGCTATAGGTCGACACTGCTGTGGGACTTTTCATGATGCACTGAGCACCTCTCCTCTATTCTCTTGCTATTCATTAACTTTTCTTTACTCTCTCCTGTAGTTTGTGTTTTGTCCTGTTTGTTGCAGCTGTTTCATACCATGAAAGCTAATTAAGTATTTCTCAGGTCTAAACCTAAAGCAACAGTCTCAATAAAGTAAACTGTGGTTGGAGACTACAACAATAACATTATTAAGACTGCATGCAGCGAACCAGGACTCTTGTTGCATTTAAAAGTTTTGTTGCTTCAAAGACAGGGATCAGGTCTGTGACCACTCACAGTCAGTAACCATCTTAACATGAAACAATGCTACGATGACAAATCGTCAGTATATTACGCTTTCGGCCACCCAACACGTCCTTATACTACGAGTTTGGAAAAATTAAAAAAATTTTTTAAATAAATGATAACAACAGCTTATCAAGCTTGAACGTGCTGCTGTTGTTGTTTAGTGCAACATCTGCTGGTTTCCTGTTTCTGGCGCAAAGTGGTTGATAAACAAACAAGAGAGACGATCAGCTGATCATTGATCGGTTTCATGATTGAAGTAGCAACAGGAGAGGGAGGGGGGAGAGAATGAGGGGAGAAGAGGCAGCTGTGCAGCATAAAGACAGAATAACTCCAGCTTTGTCTTTTTTTCATTCTAGCTGAACTACAGGATTAATCGCGTTCCTTTTCCTCTCAATACGGATGTATTTTAATTGGTCCAGCCCAGAGTTGATCATGACCAATTGGCTAATCCACCACCTTTCATTGTTTATACTGTTACAAAAACAAACAAACATAAAAATGAAAAATGAAAAATCACCATCAGCCCACCAGGCAAATGTCCGGTATGCCCAACAGCCAGTCCAGCTATGCGGTCAGCTGGTGGGTAACAGGCATCTCTGAAAACGTTAGAGCTCTTATGCAAATATGTGATGTCTTGATGAATCAAGCAGATATTAGAAGTTTACACAGCACCATTCTCTCATGAAAATATCTTAAAAGTTTATTTTGTGACCCAGAAAGAGTAATATTTCAAACTCCGCCACTCTGTGTTCCTCCGCCACTGCCTCGTTTGAGTTTTGGACGAACTGGATTCTGGGATATTGCATTTCGTCATTTTGAGCTGATTGGAGAACAGAACTGGTGCGGAAACTCCTGTGGGGAGCTTTGTTTCCGGTGTCCTATTCGCGCCCTGTTTACGGTCCAGAACAAGTTAAGCAAATGAATGAATCAAGCGGCGATTTACATTTCTATAGATGTCTTGGGCATTTACCCAATATATCTGTAAATGATGTTCATCGACTTGTCGATATTTTTCCCCCGCGCCTCAGAGCAAAAGAGAAAAGGGATTCAAATGTTATATTTCTCAGTATCTGTAAACAGCGGTCCCTCGTTTATCGTGGGTGTTATGTTCTAAAAATAACCAGGGATAGGTGAAATCAAGTAGCCAATTTTATTTTTTGATGGTGCAAAACGTTTCGTAGACATCGTCGACATACAGTACTGCACTTCAGTCACACTGCTAGCGATCGATGCAGCAATTCTGTACTGTACAGGAAAGACAGCACGGAGGAGATCGTCTGCAGCGATCAGGACGCAGGACACGTAAAAAAAATAAGCATTCAAACTTGCACTAAAAAATCTGTGAAACAGCGAGGTGAAAGGTGAACCGCGTTATAGCGAGGGACCTCTGTAATTTTGAAGGTAAGTCACAACATACCCTTCGTAAATACTAATGTATAGAAACCGTTACCAGCAATCATTCATTTTTTGTGTGGCTTTTTTTCACAGTTTGTTAACATGCTGTGTAGGTGTGTACTTGACTAGCTGATATCGACATAACGGGGGAACATCTGGTTTGACTATAGTTCACCTGTAGTTCGAATGCTGAACATTTGCCTGTTTAAATCATAATAACTGTCACTATACAGAGATGTGCTTCTGAATGTGGACGATGTGTCTTCTGATTTTGTAATGCAGTTCTGCTTGTGTTGAGTGATGTAAACAACTGATCGATCTAAACTCTTTAAACGTCAAAATTGATCATTCGATTTTTTTATGACACAACAGTGGTGAGTGTTCCCACCTCTGCTCTTTGTAACTTAACGCAATCTTTCCGTTTTCGAGTTTTGGACATGATTTTGGAGTATATCTTCGCAGTAGCGATTGACCGCAAAGGAAAGCTACCGGAAATGTACAACCCCACATCCGGTCTCAAACCAGGAAGTTAGTATTTTATCGTGCACAGGGTCAATAGTGGCACAAAAATAACGCCATACTAATGGCGACTAAACCGTTTATGATAATACAGTGTTTAACTTTGATAAATCAAAGTTGC